ATACTTTGGACATGTTGTAAGGAGAGGCAGGTCTTTAGAGAGGGACATCATGCTGGGTAGAGTGGAGGGACAGCACAGGAGGGGAAGACCCTCTATGAGGCGGATTGATTCAGTGACTGGGGTAATCGGGATGGGTGTGTCAGAGGCAATGAGATTGGCACAGGATAGAGCTTTAGGTTTAGGGCTGTTGTACATAGGGTCGCAAACGACTCGACGGCACATAACAACAACAAACAATCCCATCCTTTGCCATCCTCACAATTTCTGACACAGCTGAGCCTATTGCTGCACTCTGTTGACTCATCTCATTGAGGATCTTCCTCTCTTTCACCATCTCTCCACATTTCCTAGCATGATGTCCCTCTCTAAGGAATTACCTTTCCTAGTAGGATGCTCAAAGAATGTGACATAAAGCTTTATCATCTTTGCCTCCAAAGAGCACTCTGGCTGCACCCTCTCTAAGACATACCTATTTGTTCTTTCAACAATCTATGGGATATTCAGTATTCTTCTCCTACCCTACAATTTTAAAGGCATCAATTCTTCTGTCATCTTTATTCAGTGTACAGCCCTCAGCAACATAGCAAGTGATTGAAAAGACCATGGTCTGAATCACCTTAGTCCTCAAACTGACATCATTGCTCCTCAAAAATTTGGAGAGATCCCTGACTGAAGACTTTCCCAGTGCAGTATGTCTCCTGGTTTCTTCACTGCTGACCAAATACATTGATTATGGATCCAAATAAGATGAAGATGTTGACAGTCTCAATCTTTTATCTATCTATTATGATGTTACCAGTCAGTCCAGTGGTGAGAATTTTGTTTTCTTGATGTTTAGATGCAATCCATATTGAAGGCAACAGTTTTTGATCTTCAACAGCAAGCGCTTCATGTCCTTCTCACTTCCAGTAACAAGTTGTGTCATCTGTAGTCTTCCTTCAATGATGATACCATATTCTTCTTCATAGAGTTCAGCTTCTCAAATTTTCTCAGTCTATAGATTGAATCACAGAGAATTATGGACAATTTTCTTCACTGCAATTAACTGCCTGCCTCTGAAAATCCACTAGAAGGTCAGCTATGGGTTCCAACTTGACAGCACACAACAGCAACTGATTGAATAGATTTGGAGGAAAAAATACACCATGACACAAGCCTTTCACCTTTCTTAATTTTAAACCATGTAGTGCTCCTTTTCTCTATTAATATAATAGCTTCTTGGTTAGGTATAGTTTTGCATGAGCACAATTAAGTCTTCGGGGATCCCCGTTCTTCTCAACATTAGTCATAATTTGTTTTGAACCACACAGTCAAATGCCTTTACATAGTCAATAAAGCACAAATAGACATTCTTCTAATATTCTTCGCTTTTAGCCAGAATCTATCTGATACCAGCAATGATATTCCTGGTACCATGGCCTCCTCTAAATCCAGCATTAACTACTTGCAGTTCTTGTTCTATGTACTGTTCCAGATGTTTTTGAGTTCTCTTCAACAATATTTTGCTTTCATGTGCTAGTAATGACATTTCCCATAATTTCCACTATCTGTTGCATCACTTTTCTTTGAAATGGGAATAAATATGTATCTTCTCCAGTCAGTCGGCTAGGCGACTGTACTCCAAATATACTGGCTTAGATTGGTGAGCATGTCCAGGGCTGCATCTGTCTGTTGTTGTTATTGTTAGGTGTCGTCGAATCAAGCACAACTCATAGTGACCTATGAACAACAGATATGAATCGTGTCCTATCCTGTGCCATCTACACACTTCCTGACTAGAGCCCATTATTGCAGTCACTGTGTCGATACATCTGGTCAAGTTTCTTCCTTTTCTTTGCCGACCCTCCACCCTTCCAAGCATCATGTCCTTCTCCAAGGAATAGCCCCTCCTAGCAACATGCTAGGAGGTGAAGCCTCTTCATTCCTGCCTCAAAAGAACACTCCAGATGCATCCTCTCCAGGACATTTGTTTATGCTCTTGGCAGTATTCTTCTCCAACACCACAGCTCAAAGGAGTCAATTCTTCTTCTACTATCCTTATTCATTGTCCATCTCACAAATGTATTGCAAGTGAGAGGAAAGACCATGGTCTGGATCAAACACACCTTAGTCTTCAAACTGACATGATTACTCCTCAATAATTTGGAGAGCTTCTCAACTGCAAGTTTTTCCAATACAATGCATCTCCCTACTTCCTGACTGCTGGTACCCAAGGTGTTAATTGTGCATCCAAGCAAGATGAAGCTGTTGACAGTTTCAGTCTCCTCTCTATCCATCATGATGCTGCCTATCAGTCCAGTAG